TCCAGTATCTTGAGACTGACACTATCTCAGCACCTGCCTATGCCATTTTACCACCTAAGGCAGAACAGTTGATACTAGTCTCTTCACCAGCAAGGAAACCTGGTTCATGGCTTGATAAGTTGTTGTGGCATCTGAAGCAACAAATCCCACAAACTCTTCTCCTCTGTCACAACAAGAACTCAGCCCTGCAGAAAAATTATGAGGCGTTATCACTCTTTCTATGAGTTCCTGTCAGGATCATAGGTCCTGCCATGCTTGCTAGTCATATATTCTGTATATACTTTGTAATACTGGATGGTGGATTATGCTATATTAGTGGTGATGCTGTGTGGAAAGATTGTTTTTCTTTCTTGAAGCTGGCTAATGAGTAGATGTGAGGGGAGGAAAAATGCACTTTAAACTGTCAAGATCAATTTAGTAGGAACACTTTTTACAAAAAGGAAAGCTGGAGTAGTCTTGGGTAAACTGAATGTTTTGATTTGAAGATGAATGGAGGCTGAACATGTGAAAAATGTTTGAATTGCTTTTAATATACTCTGCAACAGATATTGCCTCCATCCTAACAACATCGTTATGCTGTGAACAACTTTAGTTTTCTGAATAAAGCTTTCAGAACCTACAGAAGCTTGGGGGTTTTTTGAACTGAGGGTCTAAACAGATGGCCCTGATAGAGCGGTGTCTGGGCACCCCATTCTTGCTGGATTGGGGCCATGGCACCAACATGCTGTGTCCCAATCCTGTACTTTGCTGGCTCTAAAAAGAAACAACAAAATGCTGCTCCTTTTTAGAATGGCAGAAAGCCACCCTTGCTGCCACATTGGCTTTTCAACACTTCTTTTGCACAGTGTGTCTAAATCAGGGGTAGGCAACCTAAGGCCCGGGGGCCGGATGCGGCCCCAAGAGGCCTTTGGACCGGCCCAGGCTGGTCCTGCCGCCGCCACTGCCGCCGCCCCCCCACGTGCCATGATGATATTGATTATTGTTGTTATTACTTGTTCTTGGGGTTTTCTTGGCAAAATCTCCACAGGGGTTTTGCCATGGCTTTTCTGTGGCTGAGAGAGTGTATATTTTTAATTTTTTTTAAAAAAAATTGTTTTTATTTTTATTTATTTATTTATTATTTTTGGTGCTTTGGCCCCCCAATTGTCTGAGGGACAGCAACCCGGCCCCCGGCTCAAAAAGGTTGCCTACCCCTGGTCTAAATGCTGCACTGAAGAAATGCCATTCTGCTGCCCGCCGTCTGGGCAGTCGGGTGGGCATGATGCCATCATTGGGGTGGAGTTGGGGGCTTGAGTTAGCCAGTACATGACAGTTCCTTAAATCTAGCTAACCTTTGCATGGGCAATGTATATGAGAGTAACCAGCCTTCCACAGCCACCAATGGTATATTTCAGGAGGGGCTGGACTCAGCATTCATGACAACCCCAAAACAAACAAACCAGAAGAAATATCCACAGAGTTCAACTACACCAATGGAGAGCATATTCTACCAACACCTAGAAAACCAGAGAAATCTGTTAGGACCAGGGCTACAGCTGGCCAATTAGCTATAACAAAAGCCATTTTAAAAAGGTTCAACAGCAAAAGATTTTGTAACTCTGCTATTTTGGCGGTTTTCTATTCCTCATTGTTTTCTAAGAGGAAGTACTGGAATTAATGTGATCAGAGATCTGAAGTAAAACCAAGGGAGAAGAATGCTGCAGAATAACTGGCAGCATTTCAGAATAAAATCCTTGAGCCTATAGTCTTCATGATCAAGTGCACATATTTCCTGGAAGCTACACATTTTATGGGATCACTAGATCCATGTGCTCATGTACCCTACAATACACCACCTAAGCAGCAAGAGGACTAGCTACAGTGTGTATCAAGTTCTATAACTATTTGCCATCACCTGTCTCCAGGGAAAATTTCAACAGATGGCTATATTTGATTTTAAAATGGAAACTTTTTTAAAAAAACACAGCTGGTTATCACCCAGTTTTAACTGGGTGCATCTGAATTGGGAGATTACTATGGATATCAGGCCTGCTTCTGTCAGGAATTCAAGTAAAATATATGCTTCAAGTTTTGTTATTTCAACCAAACAGGGTTTTGTTGGGCCATTGACATTATGAAAACAATGTCTTGGCTCTTTATGAAATTCTACTGTTTTAACTATAATATGAGTTTTAAGAGAAATTTAAAGCTGCTGGAGTGGTCTTGTGTGCCATCTATTGGAATCCAGAAAAAATATTCTTTTTCCATTCAAATTACAGAATTGTCTAAATATCAAAATGCAAAGTCATTTACATGTTGTTGGACTGCAACTTGAAGCATTCTTTGTTATTGTTAACCACTTTTGAGTCACTTTTGAATGAAAGCATTCTTTGCCATTGGCTATGGTAGTTGGGGTTTGCAGTTCAGCTGCATCTGGAGGACCACATGATTCTCACCCATGCTGTATACATTTATCAAGGAGTGAATCCTTGTGATGGCAATTGGCACTTACATCTGAGTAGACCTATATAGGATTGCACCCTCATTCATGCCAATTATTAATACATTTTGAGATTACAACTTTAGGGCAGTGATTGGTGAATGCCAGGAAACCTACATTTTCAAGTTAATCATCACAATACTAAAAAAAAAAGATACTATGTGAAGTTATATCCATTCATTAGAAATGTTTCAATTAATACTATATCTGAGCCACCTCATATAATGGAAGCTCTGGGCTTCTGCACTGGGGCTCTTACAGTTGGCTAGATAATCTGGGATATGAAATGGTATGAAAATGTTATGTAGTTACTTTATCCAGCTGAAAACTTCCTTCTCTCTCTCAGTTCTTAATAATAAGCATGTTGATTTATTTTGATTGGTTATTTGACTGGCCTAATTATATTCTAGCAAACAAGCAGAATTGTAGTCATAGTATGCTATTTTATTCCAGGTTAACGGTATAGATTTGAGGAATGCTAGTCATGAAGATGCTATCACAGCCTTGAGACAGACTCCTCAGAAAGTACAACTGGTTGTATATAGAGATGAAGCTCATTATAAAGATGAAGAGAATTTGGAGATTTTCCATGTTGAACTGCAAAGGAAAATGGGCAGAGGCTTGGGGCTGAGCATTGTTGGTAAACGGTGAGGATCACAGTTGGTTATCATTCTGCTAAGATCATTTTCACAATATAAAACAAGCACAACAGTGTTGTTGCCTTCATTATAAAAATGTTAGCCAAATGGGGCAGATTTGGGGAAAATATTTGCCAATTTGGGGAGGCAGACATCTGCAAATTATTGTGATTCATTGGGAAACTTTGTGATTATCATAATTTATGTAAAATGGCAGCAATTTCCTATTTTGTTCTCCATAGGGAGGGGCTTTCAGTGACAGTTTTCTTCTGTGGGAGAGCATTAGAATATGTGCTGGCCAACAGTCAGAATTCCTCCAATTGAGTGTATAAGCATCATGCTTTGGATACCTGAATTGGAAACCATTCTTTCAGCAAACTACTTGCTTTCCCACCATCACCACTATAAAAGGAAGGGGGGAACCATGACTGTCCCTCATTATACCACATCACTCCTCCCACAATACATATTAAAGACAAACAAGATGAAATCACTCCTTACCCAATGAAACATAAAGCACATTCTCTGCGCTTCCTGAATTCTGATGTACCCACACTTTCGTCTTTCAGCCCCAGT